GTGAGTCACCTCACCTAACCTATTTTTTTTTTTTAATATAGAACTCAACATCTCCCCTTGGGTGTTTCACAGACATCTCAGATCTATCTCTGAGATCATCACCCCCTCTTCGAACCTGGTCCTCCTCCGGTGACCCCATGTTGAGCAAGGCATCCGCCCCTCAGTTGCTCCTGGACACCACCAGGGAGCCACACTGACCCTCTCTCCCCGGTGGGGCTATTCTCCCCAACCCGGAAACCCAGGATCATGCCTTCCTCTCTTGTCCCTCCAACCCACATCTAATCACTGGCCACTCAATTTCCCAGGTCCTCGATGGTGTCTCTGCCTTCAGCCTGCCTGCTCCAATCTGCACAGAAGGATCTTTTAACCTGTGAACTGATGTGGCCGTGACACCCCAGCTGGAAGATGGGCGACACTTGTTAGTTTGGTGGTGGTGGTGGTTGTTTTTTTTGAGACAGAGTTTCGCTTTGTTGCCCAGGCTGGAGTGCAGCGCTGTGATCTCGGCTCACTGCAACCTCCACCTCCCAGGTGCAAGTGATTCTCCTATCTCAGCCTCCGGAGTAGCTGGGATTACACACGTGTACCACCATGTCCAGCTAATTTTTGGATTTTTAGTAGAGACCATGTTGGCCAGGCTGGTCTCGAACTTCCGACCTCAGGTGATCTGCCTGTCTTGGCCTCCCAAAGTGCTGGGATTATGGGTGTGAGCCACCGAGCCTGGCCTGGGTTGCATGTTTTTTTCACTTAAACATCAGTGTCCTGCAGCAGAAAGACCTGGATCCTCTGCTCCTTGGATCGCAACCGGGGGATCAGGGAGGAAATCCGAGCCCTTCGTCCGGTGGCTCAGGCTCAAGTGTTTTCAGCTGATGTGGGAAGAGACCTTTTTAGCTGAAAACCAGGTCAGGAAGAGGGATGGCTGGTCCCAAGGCCCAGCACTTTCTCACATGCTGTCCCCACACCATGGGGGTCCAAAACACTCTGCCCACCCTTCCCCCACACAGTCCCAGGCTTCTCCCTCATTCAGAAAACACGATCTCCCCCTGGCTTCCAGGAATACCTCCTGGGGGTCTTCCCACCTCACCGCCGACACCTCTGCTGTCTCCCGGACCTGACTTTCTCGGCCAACACTCTCTCACTCAGTGACCTCTCGGTGTCTCGACTTTAAAGGCCATCTCTTCCAGGATGGCTCCCAGCGTATACCTGCAGCCTGGACCTGTCCCTGAACTCCAGACACCTGTGCCACCTGCTTCCTCCTGTCTCCACTTGGACGTCTAGTTAGCATTTCACACTTCACCTGTCTGCAGTAAGATTCCAGCTCTTCCTGCCTCCAAACTGATCCACTCCCTATCTTAGCAAACAGAAACCCCACTCTTCCATAGGCCCCGCTCAGAAATCCCGGCTTTGTCCTCGAGTCCCTGCTCTGTCTCACATCTTCCAGCCCCCATGTCACTCCTGTCTCTAAGCATACTCCATCCACTCCTGCCTTCCCCTGAAGCCCCTGCCCAGGCTGAGCCCCAGGCCCCAGGAAGTCTCCAGATGGGGATGGACTTGCTGGCCTGGAGGACCTCATTCTGCAGAGGAGGTGGGATGGGCCCCAGCTGGAGGGATCTGGTGTAGACTTCGGAGCAGCATGTCCCAACCTTGAGGACCAACTCAGAGTGGACGGCAGTGAGGGGATCCTGCTCTCGCTACCCTCAAAATGTCACTGAGTCTAGCCAGTTCCCTCTGTATCCTCCACAGCCACACTACACCTGGCTACCACCACCTCCCGGCTGATTGATACAGTGACCTCCGATGGGTCTCCATTCCTACCTATCTGTGTCTGAAGTCAGTTCTCCCTGTAGCTGCTGCCGAGGGGGGCCGGCTAAGCACATCAGATCCCTTGAGTCGGGAGTCTGACCTCGCCTCCCCACTCTGTGCCTTGCCCTCTAAAGCCCGCCTCACTGCACCCCTGCTAGGCCACACAGGAGGCTGCACACGGGCCAGCTGGGCTCCACCTGGGCTCTGCCACAGGGCCGGGCGATGCTTCCCCTCCGCTCTCAGTGAGGCTCCTTCTCCAACAAAACTCACGCACCTCCTGCCCTTCCCATTTTCCTCCCTGCCCGTGATGCGTTCTCCGTGAGGCGTGTCGAGGGTTTCTACACGGCAGCACTTTCACGTGTTGGTTGTTGTTTATGGCACTCTCCCCTCACTAAATTGTAAGGTCCATGATGGCAGGGATCTGGTCTATGTCCCCAGAGCCCTGCACATAGTAGGTGCTTAGTAAACATGCCCTGGAGGATGGGATGGATCTGTGAAGTCCCTGAGTTCCCTGGCAGGTGCTCCCATGCATGATCCCCCACCCTCTCCATTTCCTCTCGTGCTGTTTGCTGCCGATGTGATTCTGTGCAGCAATCGCATCAGATCTATGAGCTCCCATGTCGGTCTCAGTGCCCAGCACGGCGCCTGGCACAGGGGCAATGAGCAAGAAATACTGGCAGGATGATCACCTGCGTTTCTTTTGTGTGTGTGTGTGAGAGTGTGTATGTGTGTGAGTGTGTGTGTGTATGTGTTGAGACAGGGTCTCATCACCCAGGCTGGAGTACAGTGGTGCAAAGAGGGCTGACTTTGGCCTCCACCTCCTGGGCTCAAGCAATCCTCCTGTTCAAGTAGCTGAAAGCCTCTTGAGTAGCTGAGACTACAGGCATGTGCCACCATGCCTGGCCCTTCCTTCCTTCCATCCCTGCTTCCTTCCTTCCTTCCTCTTTCTTCTCTTTTTTCTCTTCTCTCTCTCTCTCTCTCTCTCTCTGTGTGTGTGTGTGTGTGTGTGTGTGTCTGAGAGAAAGAGAGAGAGAGAGAGTCAAGGTCTCTTTCTGTCACCCAGGCTGGAATGCAGTGGCACAATGACAGCTCACTGCAGCCTCGACCTGTTGGGTTCAAGCAATCTGCCCACCTCAGCCACCCGAGTAGCTGGGGCTTAGGCATGTGTCACCAAGCCCAACTAACTTTTTTTTTTTTTTTTTTTTTTTTTTTTTTTTTTTTTGAGACGGAGTTTCGCTGTTGTTACCCAGGCTGGAGTGCAATGGCGCGATCTCGGCTCACCGCAACCTCCACCTCCTGGGTTCAGGCAATTCTCCTGCCTCAGCCTCCTGAGTAGCTGGGATTACAGGCATTTGCCGCCATGCCCAGCTAATTTTTTTTTTGTATTTTTAGTAGAGACGGGGTTTCACCATGTTGACCAGGATGGTCTCGATCTCTTGACCTCGTGATCCACCCGCCTCAGCCTCCCAAAGTGCTGGGATTACAGGCTTGAGCCACCGCGCCCGGCCCAACTAACTTTTAACATTTTTTTTGCAGAGATGGATCTCCCTGTGTTGCCCAGGCTAACCTTGAATTCCGAGCTCAAGTAATCCTGCCTCAGCCTCTCTAAGTGCTGGGATTACGGGCAAGAGCCACTGCACCCGGCCTGAGCACCTGGGTTTCTATAGGGCTTTAACTACTACCACTGTCATCCCGCCAGGCCCTGGTCCCCATGCGGGCTCCACCTCCTCCCAGGCAGTGTGCTCAGCACAGTCTGGTCAACTCTGAACCCCCCACTGTGGGCCCCTCACTGCCGTTCATTCTGAGCTGGTCCTCAAGGTCGGGACGTTCTGCTCTCAAGTCTACACCACATCCCTCCAACTGTGCCCACCTCCTCTGCAGTCAGCTTCCCAAGCCAGCAAGTCCACCCCCATCTGAAGGCTTCCTGAGGCCCGGGGCTCAGCCTAGGCAGGGGCTTCAGGGGAAAGCAGGAGTGGATGGAGAATGCTTAGAGGCAGGAGAGATATTGGGAGATGGGGGACACTCGGCCTGCCTGCCTCAGGCGTCCTCTGAGCTTTCTAGACCCTCCGAGGTTAGAACACTTGGGAAGAAGGGAGGCAAAGAGGCCTGGCTCCTGCCTCGTCCCTGCTGCCCTGGCAGAGGGCTGCCTCATCCTCCCTGGCCGCTCCTCCGCCCCAGGGCTCCAGCACGGGGTGTCATTCCCTCCTCAGTCCTTCACTCATTCACAGAGATTTGCTGGGTAATTAGGACACCTCGGGGGGCCTTCTAGGTGCTGGAGATTCTTCTTCCGCCCTCTGGGAGGGTGTTCTCACAAGGAAGAGACAAGTAGGACGCAGAAAACAGGTGACGTTTGTGGAGGATGCAAAGGAGAGAAACTAAAGCTGGAAAGGAGGATGGGAGAGGTCTGAAGACGTGCTGGCATTTTGGATGAGCTGGCCCGGGAAGGCCGAGGGGACTTAACCCCTGGACCCATCCCCCACGCCAGTCCACGGGCCTCTGTCCATCCAAGTGGATAGAGACTGTCACCCCAGCCTCAGCTCAGAGAAACAGCTCTGACCTATCACTCCCTGCTGAAGTCCCTTCAGGCGAGCTGGTGGGCGGGCGCCCAGCTCATTGGGCCTCTCCAGGCCTGTCCCGTGAGTCCTGCCCTTCTCCCAGGTCCTCTGCGCCTGCAGCCGTGGGCAAGCTGGGGAGCTCTCCCCGCCTCTCCAGCTTGCCGAGGCCAGAACTTCTCCATCCACCCCCGCTTTCTGACCCTGGGCTTGGAGGTCACCTTCCCCCAGGCCGAGAGTAGGCGCCCCCACCGCAATCTGCGGCACTCCGCACAGCCCTGCGTTCTTGTCCCGTAGGCAGCCGTGTCCCCGGCCCCCCACGAAGCCGTGTCGAATGAATGAATGCCTCATTCGCGTCCGATCTTCCGGGCCCTCCCCGCCGCGGCGGGGGCCGGAGCGCCAGGGCTGGATTCGGGGAGGGGGCAGCGGGGGTGGCAGCCCCCCACACTAAGGCCGTGATGAGCCGAGGGGACGCCCCTTTGGCGGGCTGGGGGGGCTGGGGTCCCGCGGGCGGAGGCCGCGGCCGGGCGGGTGCGGGGCGGGAGGTGGCGCCGGGTGCTGAGTGGCGGCTCCGGGTCCACCCCTGGCGCGCGGGTGCGGGCGGGAGACGGGAGGCGGGAGGCGGGAGACCGGAGACGGGAGGCGGGAGGCGGGGAGCGCAGGGCGGCGGCGGGCGGGAGGCAGCAGCGAGCATGTGCCGCAGAGCCCAGTAACCAGGGACGACCGCGGCCACACCGCGCCGGCGCCGGCGCCCAGCCCAGGCAGCCCCGCGCCGCGGCGCCCGGACCGCCCGGGCCTGCCTAGCGGCCGCCCCACACCCCGGGCGCCCCGGCGCCGACAGCCGCGCAGCGCAGCGCAGCGCGGGCGCCGCAGACAAAGGCGCGGCCCCGGCCCGGCCCGCCCGGCCCAGCAGCTCCCGCTGGGAGCCCCGACCGGGTCCGGCCCGGGGGGCGGGGGCCGCGGCCGCCGAGGATGGGGAAATCCAACAGCAAGTTGAAGCCCGAAGTTGTGGAGGAGCTGACCAGGAAGACCTACTGTGAGTGCGCCCGGCCCCCGCCCGCGCCCCCCGGCCGCCCCCACCTCCGCCGCCCCCGCCCCGGGACCCGCGCGTTACCAGCTCGGCGCCGCCGCCTCCGCTCCGTCCTCCCCGCCCGGCCTCCGCCGCAGACCCCTCGGAGACTTCCCGGCCGCGCCCCTGCCCCCCGCCCGGCCCCATTGTTCTGGCACCCCCAGCCAGGGAGTGAGTGCGCGCCGGTCGGCGTTCGCGGTGCCACCCCTAGGTCCGGAGGGGCAGCCCCAGCCCCCCTGCAGCCCCCTCTCCGCACAGCTGTCCCGACGGGCAGGGGGCGTGCGAGGGCGGGGCGGGGGTCCCGGGAGGGGCGCCGGGCTGCGCGGAGCCGACTGGCAGGCGCGCGCAGGGCTGGTGATTCATGCATCACGATGCCGCCGCCGCCGCCGCTGCGAGATTGGCCTGTCGCCCCCTCCCTGGCCCGATCGTGTGTGGAGGGGTGGGTGGTGAGACTTGGCACAGAGCTCGTCGCGCGCAGTGACGGCGGCGAAGGGTCCCCGGCACCTCTGGGTTGCAGCATTTACAGGCTGGGTTCTCCCCTGGCCGCATCTCTGTCTGCCAGACCGGGAAATGGGTTTTTACAGCCCAGGCTATCTGGGTGGGCTGCATGTGATCATTAGCTGTCCGGGGCAGCCCCGAGGAGGAGGGCCTGTCCTTTTTGGACGTCTCCAGATCAGTCTCAGTGTGTCTCCTTCCACTTGCTCAACTTCACAACTCTGCAGTCCCCTTGCAGCGCCAATTTCTCCGTACCAGGCTTTCCCCTTCCCCACAGCCTCTCTGGAGGTGCGCCAGCATGCTAGGGGTTAATGGCACTGGGTCCAGACCACCCTGTCTTTCTTTGGGGATGGCGAGAGGGAAGGCATCGGGGTCCAGAAGGACCTCCGCCAAGGTGTTTGACTCGGAAGTGGACAGTGGCTCTGGCTTGGGTTGGAATTCAAAACCCATCCCCGGGCAGCTGCGTGGGCCCAGGCCCTCTGCACCACCCCTGGAGGCAGCAGCTTGACTGTCAGCCCCTTGTGTTGATGGAGGCTGGGGAGGCAGCTCCTGGTGGTGCATTGCACAACCTCTGCTCCCCGCTTTCCCCCACTCCATCGGCCTTCTGGGCACGTTTGCAGCTCTGTCCAAGCCCACGCTTCAGCTCCATGCCCCTCACCCAACGTGATTGGAACAAAGGGGGCTTTCCTGAGCGGGTGCCAGTCGGCTGCGAGGTGGCAGCCCTTCTCCTGTGGAATCCTGCAGCACGCAGCTTATATCCCAGGAGCTGCTCCTGGAAGAGCTGAAGCCCCCCGGCCCAGGGGCTGCTCTCACCCTCTCTCCAAGGTGGGTAGGTGGGAGGCCCATTCCAGTCTGGCTGCTGTCGTGTGAGATTCGCTGGGTCCTCCTTCAAGCTGAGTCCAGATGAGGCCCACAGCCACCAGCAGGTGGGACTTCCTGGGTCCCTGTGCCAGGGGAGGCTGAGGACTCAGTGGGATCCATCAGGAGTGGCGGGCATGGGCTGCCTGGGATGCCTCCATCATGGTGGGGCAGGGGAGTGAAGCTAGGTTTTCTGCTCATTGAGCACGTCACGTGCCAAGCTCTTGGCATCGTTAGCACCTCGACTCCACCACAACAGCTCTACCAGGCTGCATGCTGCTACGATCTGCATTTACAGATGGGGAAAGTAAGGCCCAAAGGGACAAAGTGGCATGTATGTGATCCAACAGCTAGTGACTAGGCAGTGTCAGGACTTAAATTCTGGTCTGTCCTGCTTCAAAGCTAGTGAGAGACCTCAGAACTCATGCCAAGAGCTCTTCTGGGCTGGGAGCAGTGGCTCACGCTTGTAATGCCAGCACTTTGGGAGGCCAAGGCGGGAGGATCACCTGAGATCGGGAGTTCGAGACCAGCCTGACCAACGTGGAGAAATCCCCGTCTCTACTAAAAATACAAAATTAATCAGGCATGATGGCAGGTCCCTGTGATCTCAGCTACTTGGGAGGCTGAAGCAGGAGAATCGATTGAACCTGGAGGTGGAGGTTGCAGTGAGCTGAGATTGTGCCATTGTACTCCAGCCTGGGCCACAAAAGCGAAACTCCGTCTAAAAAAAAAACAAAAAACAAAAAACAAAACGCTTCTGGGTGTCTGTTTCTGACTTTTGCTAGAAACCCATGATGGTGGATTCTAAATGAGAAGGGCCTGGGGTGATCGTCCTGTCCAGCCCCCTCTTCCAGGCAGACCTGTCAACTTTGAGAGAAGTTGAGTCAACAAAGCTTTGTTAGGAGCTGGCCCTTGTGGTGCTGGGCTGGGCTATTTTTAAAGGCCTTTGGAGACGTGGAACAGTTTTGGGCAGGGAGAGAGTTGGCCTGGGTACTTTTCCTCTGTAGAAGGCCTTATTAGGGGTGGGCCGCTGGAGGTGGCGGTGGGTTCATTGGCCTCCTGTCTGCCTCCCACGCTGACGTCAGCTCCTTCAATGCAGGCCCTTGTGTGTGGCACTCACAGCTGTGTTCCCCCTATGTGTTGGCCTTTGGTAGGTCCACAGAATGAAAAGTCTCCCAACAGGGCAAGCAGAGAAAGGCTCCAGCTTGTTCTCCGGTCCCCAGATGGGCTTCCTTCTGATGGGGAGTGGAGCCATCTGCTCTTCGTTCTGGGGGATTCTGTGTATGGGGTCAAGAGGAGCTCCCCGGGAAGGACTCTGAAATGTCAGAATCTCCTGGTTGATTAACACCCACAAAGGTGCCTGGGCTGCCCTCCCAGATTTCGGATTCGGGGGCTGGGGCCCAGGAATTTGCATCCCTGACACGCGTTTGTGGTGCAGATTGTGGTCCTGGGGATCCCCGATTGAAGACCACAGATCTGGTGTATGCTGGGGGTCCTAGGCTACAGCTGGCCACAGTGCCCAGGAGGCCCACAGGGGAGCCACGGGTCCACATCACTGCACAGAGCAGTGTCCTTGATGGGTGACTCTGGCTCTGTGTGTGGTAGTCTGTGTGTGTGCAGAAGAAGGAATGTTCTAAAGGCTCCAGGAGTGTGGTCCTCACTGGACATGCCGGGATTCTTCTTGGCTCCAGCCCTAACCTGATCCTCAGCCTTCCACCAGCAACAGACTGGGGAGAGGTGGATGGGGTGGCCCTGTAGCCAAGACTTAGACGGTGGTGGTCAGCCTTGCGGGTGGCCCAGTTTCTCTGAGGTTTGGCCCACGCTCTTCCAACCTGCTGGTGAGGCTGCTGGCATCCTTGTGTGCCTGGCTATGGGATGGGCCAGTCCCTTCACTTACCTGAGCCTCTGTTTCCTCATCTGCAAAATAGGTGTGCTCATGGTACCTGACTCAAGGGGACGTGAGGCGTCAGCGGGGTAACTCGTGCAGCATGGGGCCTGCTGCGTGGCGTGGGATATGTGGTCAGTAAATGCCAGGGATTGTTAGTAATGTTTGTTCTTTATTTTTTTGGAGGCAGGGACTGGCTCGGTCACCCAGGCTGGAGTGCAGTGGTGCAACCGTGGTCACTTAAACCTTGACCTCTTGGGCTTAAGTGATCCTCCTGCCTCAGCCTCCCCAGTAGCTGGGATCATGGGTGTGCAATGCCACACCTGGCTAATTAAACATTTTTTTTTTTTTTTTTTTTTTGTAGAGTTAGGGTCTTGTCCTGTTGCCTAAGCTGGTCTCAAACTCTTGGCCTCAGGCAATCCTCCCGCCTTGGCTTCCTAAAGTTCTGGGATCACAGGGCTGAGCCACGGTGCGCAGCCTTAGTATCGTTTTGACCATATAATACAGCTTCATCGTGAACTGGGCTTTTCTGTGTTTTGTGGGCGAATTTCTTCTCTCCATAGAGGAATCTTCCTACGACCCCAGTCTCTGTGCCTGGCACACGGAAGAGGACCTCTGAGACTGCTATGCCCGAATCCCAGCAGGGGCTGCTCTGACGTGCGGTGGCCTCCCCAGCCCCACTGGCGAATCGTGAAGCCGCCCTGGCCTGTTCCTCAAGTGCTCACTGTGTGCCAGGCACAGAGATGGAGGAGTGACCGAGAGAGATGGAGTTCCTGTCCTCAGGAGGAAACCAGCCAGGTTGCCTGAACACTCGAGCCTAGGGGTGCAAGCCACTCAAGGTGGTCTGAGCTGCATCCACGTAAAGCCCTCTGAGGCCACGGCAGGCCCATGCCAGCCAGGCCCCAGAGGCAGAACCTCTCCCCTCCTTCCTGCTCCTCCTCCTCCTCAGGATGCTTGCGGGCGCGTCCTAGGGACTCTCGGTCCGGGACTCAGGGGTGGCCATTTCCTCCTTGTTGCTCTTGGTCAGCCCAGGCTCTGCCTTGACCTTGCCTGCCAACCTTGACGCTCTTCTGCCTTTTCCCTGATGCCCAGAATGGTGCCTGGTACGCAGGAGCTTGTGGAGGGCAGGAGCCCGCGGCTGACGCCTCTGTGACCCAGAGCAGAGGATGGGTCCCTGGCTCCAGGTTGGGATCAGCAGTTGGGCTCTTGGGTCTCTCTGGTCGTGGACTATTCTGGGGCCCATGAGGGTCCCTTCCTCTGGGGTGACGGAATATGCTCTGATCATCACTTCCCCACCCAACTCTGCTCAACCAGGGCGGGGCAAGCCGCTGCCTTTGGGAGGCAGTAACTGGAGCCCATCTTGGTGTGACAAATATGGGGGTTGCGTGATGGCTGCATGGCGACACAGGGGGCCCAGAGCCAGGCACAGGGTGAGCCTCAAGGAGAGGAAAGGGAGCTGCTCCTGCAGTCCCCATGCATCCCGTGTGCGTGGGAGTGAAGCCAGGAGGTCTTTGCTTTCTCTGAGAGTCGAGCCGAACAGCAGCGGGTGGGCATCTGGGCAGGAGACATCACCTGCATTATTAGGAGGGGCCTCGATCCCCTGGGGTGTGGGGCTGGGTCCTCGCTTGGGCTTGGGGACCTTGGGCAAGTCCCTCGGCCTCTCTGAGCACCAGTTTGTTCATCCATCAGACATGCCTGCCCACTCCAGGGATCTAAACCGGAGAAGCTT